AGCTAAAGAAAAACTCTACTTATGTAATTACATTCTACTTATTATTTATCTAGGATGGTTTTTCACGCTAGGTTGTTCACACTTCCATACCAGGTGGAATAAGGTTTTTCCATTCGGGAAACGAAAAAACTTTCAAGAGAGAAAACAGTGAGAGAGAGACTTTTCGTATCGCTGCGCTGTGAAAAATATCACAGTTTCACGCTCATTTCGTGCTGAATTCCTATTTTTTCTTTGCTGATACTTGCTGCAGCAATTACAATTTACTTTTTTCTCAAAAAGTTTTGTGTTGCTTGACGTTACTTTGGTGTTTTCAGGCAAAAAGGAAAATTAGAAGATAATTGATAAGCAGAGTGAACATTTGATACTCCTTTCTTTCTCTTTCTTTTAATAAGCAATCTTATCTTTTAAACCGAAATGTCAGCCTTTTAGAAAAATTATATAAATATCTGTTAATATATTATTTATTTTTGGAGACTATAAATGTTGCAGCGAGATATATGTTAAAAGCAAATGATATTATATTTCACGCATATTTTTCATTAACAAGACTTTTTATTGTAAAAGTCCTGAAAAATTATCCTTAATGAAAAATATGTGTAAAATACTTCTCGCACAAAGCGAGTTATTTTGTTCATGATACCTTTTTCTATATATATTTTTTGGGTTTAAATGAAACAACAAATTCATTGTGACGTACGTACATTTTATTCATCATTTATTTAGACGTTTTCAGGTTACACATTGGACACCATCAATATATTTGAATTTTAACAAAAAGAATAAAGTATATAAATCCGTTAATAATAATAAAAAGATAATACATATAAATGTTCATATAAATCGTTTATTCTTCTGAAGGACGTATTTTTAATTCGCAAGTTTTTATACATTTCTATAATTAAACGCTATATTTATACTTCTAGCTGAGATTCGAAAGTTGAAAGTTTGCGGCTGTAATAAATGAAAGTTGAAACATAAACACAACTAACAGTTTGAAGTTCAGAGTTGAGAATTGAAGATCGGGAATTTATGCATATGCAAACTTTCAAACATTATTCTAAATCATTCTATAAATCCTAACAATAATGTCCTATGCCTTTCTAGTGTGATTTTACTACCGAATCTCAATCAGATGAGTTTTTAACGATGAATAGAACCTTTCATTAACGAATCGCGTGTCGGATTCGTCCCGAATTATTACATCAAACACGAGAAGCCTCGTTGCAATTATCTGGTCGACAAATTTTATTTCTAATGTTCTTGAAAAACAGATTCGAGGCACATAGATGCGCACGTGTCTCATCCGCGTTTAATTTCAACGACGATGTCGTCGGATTCACCGTACGATTTTTATTCATGCCGTTCTTCCAACTACCCGCGAATTTCACGTTGATGAAATCGAACTGCGATCTCTCTCGCGAGCCGAGCCTGGAGAACGTGTTCCCCAGGAAGCAGCACTCGTCAACGATCGTTTGTCGGAAAGCGATAAATATCACCGCTCGTAAATATCATGCGGTTAGCAACAATAAATCCCGCGTTACTTCGAAATTCCCACGCAGGAGGTAAATCTCGAAGGACGCTGCATTTCGGCTCTCATTGTACACATTCGTTAATGCTGCATTGTACATTAAAGGCTGGTATTCATAGTCAGTTCTTACATTCAAGACCATCTTAAGGATGTACTTGAGATATTTCAAAATGATAAAATTATGTAAAAATTACAGATTATTCTGCTTTTTATCAATTATTCTTTTTACATTCGATTGAAATTGACAAATCTTATGATTTAAAGCTTATTGCTTTTTACACGTATTGTGTTTCGAGACTTAATAAATGACACAATTGAGCACAAATTTGCATGTATATTTCAATAAATCGGTTTAAAGTTATTTTAAACTAATTAAACATTTTTTTATAATATTGTTGTTTATGTATTTATTTGAAATTGCAGAGGGCTTCAACTTGGGACAAGTTATATTGTTGATAACAAATATCAGTGACCCAGTTAGATTACCCAAAGTGATGAACTTGCTATAGATCTCTTGTCCAGTTTAGAAATTGTGTTAAACGAGGAAACACGGGTATATTATAAAGTATAATATCGTCTTGTGGAAGAGACACATACTTTTGCATGCAGAAATTTAGAGTTTCACGCATATCGCATGATCGAAATTGTGGAGAACAAACTATGAATTTATATACAATATATTTCTTAGCTCTTGAGATAGCCGAACTTTTCACGGCGTGTCCTAAATTCTGAATCAAACATTTCAGAATTTTATGGTATCATATAATATTATCTTGTCTTTTTAATCGTAAAAAAATTATCTTAAAAATTATAATTTCAGTTTTTTAGTCTCTAAATAATCTTCGTATCTAAGATTACATTTTTTATACTTAAGAAACAGTATATTATAATCTTTAAAATATCAATTAGCATTTAAAAAAGAAAAATATTTTTTATTTAATTTGTATATTTAATTTGTTTATTTAATTTGTATATTTGTATATTATGCGCGTATTGAATTTTTTATTTAACACTTTTAAAATTTAATTATCTTTTTCACACAATCGTAGAGATATTTATATTTATTATATATAGATATATTATATATAGATATAAACAATATTTATATTCATATATATATATATATATATATATATATGAGACATGCACTTGCACTACGTGCAATGTAATGCAATAATCTCTAAAGCATGGTAAATATTTTGAGAATCGTTTATTTCGGAACCTCTTTTTTTCAATTCTCGTTCAGGATACGCCAGTTGGGTCAAGCTAGATAAATGGACTGTCGAGGACATCCTTCCGAGAATGGAATCTACCCTCGATTCTGTTTGCCCAACGGAACATGGAATAATCGTCACGTGGCACTGTACTTGAATCAAATCGAAAAGCGGTGACATCGATCTTGTTTTATATTAACAGATATTTAGATTGTGCTTCAATCGCACTGCATTCCAAAAAAAAATCAGCCCGTCAAAATTCCATCAATATTCCATCAATATCACCCTAAATTTTTCATTTATGGATCTTTAGTGTGATATATGAAAGTAGTATTTAACTGTCTCTAATGCTTTTAAGTCTTCTCTAACAAAATTTAAAAAATAATAAATAAATAAGTATGCAAATTTTTTAAATAAAATTGCTAAAATTTTACGAGGAACGCTAGAATTTAAAAAATTCGCAGCATTAAAAATTTTTAAGTACATATCTCATGCAAAAGCATACAGATTATATAAACGCATATAAATACATAGTATTAATTTTAATTTCAAGCATATTTTATATTTTAATAGTTAATAATGATAATTTAGTTTTGTTTATCCTAACAAAAATTCATCCAAAAATATTTTTTATATATATTATAAAAAAATTTATCACACACATACATATATAAATACTGCTCATTATACAGCATTAATATGCATTATCAACGATTGACAAAATAATCAGAAAACAGCACGTATCCGTCTTGAGAAAATTTGCCATCAACATCCTGTTGAGATTAATTTTTACGCCATTCGTATGAAATTCGAAAGTAAGGCTGATTTATTAATGTACGCACGTCTAACGTACAGCGTGTAAAGTAAGCAGAGGCAGCTTCCGCTTATACAGTTTTCCGTGGAGAATTACTCTCTTCGCGGCATTCCCGTGGGACACATTCGCCACTCCTTGTGTGCGCGACGACGTTTCCTGCATAATGAAACAATATCGCTCGTGCCCTGTTCTCGATCTCCCTGCAAGATCGAACGAGCACCTTCAGCTTCCCTATTCTTTTATTTAATTTCTTATAGTGAGTATCGAGGGAGAATCAAATTCTACGATATGTTCAGCGCGCCTTAAACTTACAAGATGCATACACCAAAGGAGGAAAACTCGGCGGAAAATCTTCACCGAGAAATGGCGAACGCGCGAGATGACTTTGACGGATCAGTCGCCCTTGTTAACCCTGTGTTACCGTTGTGTTCCCTCGGCGATTTACGAGTGCGCTCGTATAATCTACGTCGTACGGCTCCTCTTCTTCGTCGTCTTATTACCGGAATAACGTAATATTGCCGGCATGTAGTCGGTGAGATCGTTGCGACGACGAGGCGCGATCGCGCTAAGACGCCTCTCTCCATCCGACTTAACGACATTCTCGTGGCGGATTAGGTCTCGAGCGAGATAGCAAGTCCGGGTGCAAGACAAGGCACATGACGCTCCGTGTCGAATGGGCTGGGATTAGCCGGAGATCCGGCGAACCTGAAGCGCGCGGATACCGCGCGCTTAGCGAGATCCTGACGTCGAGCGCGTTTCACGCGAAATTTTCATGGGTCCGCATCGTTTACGTGCGATTTAGTGGAAGCGTGTACTCACTTTACGCTTTTAGCATAATGCAACATCGTCGGATATTGAGATGCAAAGCGCGGTTGAGAGCTGCAACTAGTGCGGGTGTCTTAAAACTAAAGACGTCGACTTGACGGCTGCATTGAGCCCTGCATTTACTTAGCGGCTGGAAGAAAAATTTTTTAATCAAATAGATCAATAGTCTATTGAAAAAAAAAAGAATTAATATATAAAATAAAAATTTTTTTTCTTCGCAGGCATGAGGCAATAATCAAAATTAATCTCGGTTAAACTTATTTTAATCTCTCGATTCGATCAACTTGCTCTCCATCTTTTTCTAATTCTTAGAATTAAAAAAAGCTGAAGAGTTAATTGATCCAAAATTAAAAATTTATATAAAATGCCATTTTACAAACTATAAAAATCGAAGCCTTAAACGGTCTAGCTGGATCTTAATGCTTGTATGATTCTTATGTGAATTTATATAGTACGTATGTAGTCCCCAGAAACGCGCGTAGTATTTTTGATTTCTACAGTTTGTGTTATCACATATACGGTCCTATTATATATTATATATTATGTATTATATTGCCATTTTACAATCATGTTTGTAATTGTTTTGAAGAATGTTAATTGCAATCGTCGTTTCTCACAGGAATCCGACAGTCTAGCAGTATTCTCTGAACTGCTGAGATACACAAGCGTACGCGAGCTGAGCTTATGCAACGCACGCTTGCATTTAGCAGTGCATGAAGGTCCTTTGGCGAGATTGGGACGTCGCGACGACGCCGGCGCCGAGCTTCTGCGAGCCGCACCACCTCCGGCCTGTCCCGCGATCGTCTTTCTGAGGCTAGCTGGATTTCAAGTGAGTGAATACTCTCTCTTCTTACAATTAGATACCATTCCGTAAAGATATTGTATTAAGTAAAATTTTTCTTAAAAATCCAAACACACACACACACACACAGAGTACGAAAGCCGATCATAATTTTTTATCATCATCTTTATATTCTGAAAATTAACTGAAATACTGAATATTTCATTAATTTTTTTGTTCGAATAAAAAAATAAATTTTTGATTGTCAAAATTTTAATTACACAATTTTCATATTTATAAAAGTAATCCAAAGATCGTAGTTTACACATTAAACAATCGGAAGACTATATAAGCTGCTCTGAATCAGTACTTTATACAGTATTATTACATGAAATGACTGGATAAAATAATTAGCGAGAGATCCTTGAAACTTGTCTACATCTCGTTTAATTAACGTGATCCCAATGTAACAATACTGCAATGACATACGCAATCCTATTATACCAGACTAACATACGAAGCTTTGACCATTTGCTGATGCAGTTACACGTCTTCGAATGTATCGTGCATATCCGGGCGCCCATGGTATTACGGGAAGATAACATACGTATACGGCATCGCGATTCCAGTAGACGCAGATGTAGCTGTCTACTGACTGTCTCTCCGACGAGTTTCCTGGATATACAAGGCTATGTAGCTATCGTGTTCCCAGGATCTGGGCTGGAACCATTAGACACACCCACGTTCTAGCCACAACAGAGGGATACAATCCGTGATGTGAGTCCCTTCTCTTGCGGAGATGATTCGTTTCGCTTGAAAATGGATCTCCGTTACGATTCGTGAAACACACCAGAAGAAAATCGGTTATTCCACTGTAACACAGAATATCACGTTCCCCCTCATCTAATATGGTGCCTTCTCGGGTAATTTCGATTCCGGTCAGGAAATTGCGAACGTGCTCGCGCCCATGGAACATATAATCCTAATATCGTCTCACTGAAAGTTTGATTCCGGACAAGAAACTCCCAAGAATTTTACGTATCTAAGCATTTTGTGGAAAAGAGAAAGGGCGTGAGATATCAATTATCATTTAGTCCATATAAGAGAATTCATGCACACGGAATGCAGAATGCAATTCTCAGTACCAGAAGGAGCGGAAAAAATTAATTTTTCTCTGGAAAAATTGCATTCAAACAGGATTTTTTTAAATGAGATCAATTTTAGGCTAACGAATGAGCGTTTTAAGTTACGCACGAATCAACGCGCGACGTGTGAATGTATCTACATTGTTTTATTATCTCACTAAAAAGAATAGATTTTTTACACAATAACTATGCATATTTAAATATCTCACTATTTGAAATACAGCTGACTTTATAAAAAAAATTTTCAAACTAATATCTCTGAAGCAACGACCGAAAATAATAGATAAATAATGAGTAACCCAACTTGTATGAAAGTCTTATTTTAAAATAAATATGTCGTAAAATAAAAAGTTTTATCATAAAATGAATATTTGTATACAAATCAAAGACCTTTTGAATACAAGTTTTAAAATATTTAATCGATGCCACTATAATATTGATATTTTTTAAATAGATTATAGAATTTTATGAAAATGTAGTAGAAGTAATTTTTTTCAATGTTAAATATAACGTTTGAGAATAATTTTTATTATTTTTCTTTTGGAAAAAACCATTCTTATAAAAAGAAAGATTAATTATACTAAGATAACTATTTCATTTTACGTCGCGAAAGCCAATTCCATGTCCGGAATGTTCGCCAGATTTCGTGTCACTTCCCTCCCTTATCTATAAGTCATACATTTTCGATTGCATGCGCAATTACTGTCCGCACCACGACAGCAATAAATAAAGGACAGCCCGGACCAACATACGTCTTTGTAGTCTCCGCATTAAACCGACCCCCAATTCCATTACCCTTGTCTCCGTGCAGGATATCCCTAAAATAAATCGCTGAATTTTGCAGCTGCATTTCCCATCTTTGCCAATTTGCAATTCGGTTTTTCATTAATGAAGATACAGCTTTGCTCGTCTTAAGTTTTTAATTAAGCATTTTCATTTTAATCACTTTTCAAGTTGACATAATGATTTAACTTGCTTTTTTTAAAAGCACGAAACTAATTTAGATGTTTTCAACTTAAAAATTGATCTTCTAATATTCTTAAATAAGTTAAAAGATTATGTTAAAATTTCGAGACTATACTACATTCAAGATTAAGAAAGATAAAATTTTATTATCAAATAGGTAATTTCAAATACTCTTTGAAATTTAGTTTTTTTCCTTTTAATTACTTCTTATTTAGAAATAGAGATGAAAATGATCGAGAGAAACTTTAAATAAAATACTCAACAGTTGTTTTTTTGATACTTGGAAATTTATTACTTGGATATATTTTTTAGAGCACGATTTTTTCACGATTTTGATGTTGTACTAGAATTATTCTAGAATTCAATTTTTGCATTCATCTAAAAGATCTCTGTGAAAAGATAACTATAAAAATTAAAATGTAGCACAATGACTAAGTGACATAGGTACACTATCGTTCATAATAATAATAATAATTATTATTATTATTTATAGTTAACAGAAATAATATTTTATTAGAATAATTAACTTCTTTTGTGATACATTCGTTATCATTGTATATAAAATATAAATTCTGTTTTGATTAAAAATAATTCTTTTTGTAAAAATCCGCTTTTTACATAATACTTTTCTTTAAAAAACCTGTTTCTTTATTTCTGCTTAGAGATTGTAAAAAGAAACCAATCCAAAATTAGTCAGGAAAACTCATAATAATAAGAAATTACTTGCCAGGCTACTGACATCCTGTATATTTTTCTCTTTTTACCTCAATCTAAATGAGTATATAAACGAGCGAAACAAATTGCGCCCGATAAGCTCTGCTGACGGAATTATTTCTGATTGCAGGTGACAGTGAACGATCGCCTGGCATTGCGCGGGCCGTTGCTACTGCCGTTCCTGGCGGGTTTCACATCGCTGAGTGAGCTTGACCTGTCGCTAGATAAATCAACAATCGGCGGCAGCAGTGGCTCGTTGCTTTTCATCGACGACAAGATCCTACAGCAGTTCTTCTGTTGCCTGGCGGCGCACTTCCGCAGTCTGCAGTCACTCCGGATCAATTTCTGGCGGGTCACCCTGGAAGACAGCGATCGCACAATGCGACAGATTGCCAAGCATCTCAAGCTATGCGGCTTAAGCTTCCTCAGGGCGAACGGCCTAATCGTCACCGACAGCGCCAAGCGTGTGCAAATGGAACACGTGTTCGTGCAGACGATCCTCACACACCTGCAGTGTCTCACCTGGCTGTGCCTGGACGGCGTCGAGTTGACCGAGACGCAAGCTACCAGCGTAGGCAAGTGTGTGCGGGATCGTTATCCTGGCACCACCCTGGAAATCAGCGCCAAGGATATCCACGTAAGATCCGTCAAGGCCCTGGTGACTGCAGCCGAGGAGGGTGGCAGAACAGAAGTGGTTTACACCGGTGGTTCCAGCTGCCGCCTGAAGATCACGAAGCTCCAGAAGGGCGGCCGAGGCAAGAAGAAATGAAGGGCTCGCCGATGATAATTCGGAGGAAGTTATCCTGGCACACAGTTTACTGCGAGGTAAAAGGGGAACGAAGAGAGTCGATTGAACGAGATCGATTGATCTCTTCGTGGATGCGACTGTGGAACTAGGAAAGTTCTGGAGATTGGAGGGAGAGAAGGCAACGGGATTAAATCAACAGATCGTGTTGGAGAAGCGATGCGGAGAAGTTCGAAGTATCGAAAAAGGGATTAGATAAGATGGAGATATAATGTAGATTTTCTAAGAGCGCGACGGATATCAAAGAGAGATAATACGTTGAGAGCGAACATCGACGTCGACTTCAACTGCAGCGTGTGAGTCGCACGTTGAATGAAAAAGAGGCTGAAGATGTAGTGGAGCACGAAAAAGGAAAATGCGGGTTAACTTTGCGGATTTTCGTCTTACTGTGATTTCGTTTCCTGCGCGTCAGGCGCGCTTATCTATGATATAGACTCTATAGATTATAGCGATTTATTAGACCTCGAGAACGATTCGAAGGCAATGGGAGATGCACTACGCTTTCACTCACCTAACCGTTCAAGAAATTAATGAGATACTAAAAAAAGCGCAAATACGCAACCAATATGGTCTAGGAAATCATTTTCGCTGTTACATCATTTTAACATGATTTTGGCATCATTTTTTATCATAATCGCGCGAATAAAAATGATGTCAAAACCAAATCCCCAAAACCTGCTTAAAAAATATATCTCTCATTTTGAAGCGTTTGTTTTTAAAGTAACTGATTTGTAAGTGTTGTCGTTAATAAGACGGATTGATAATCTTGTCATATGAACTTATTTATATATTTTTCTTCATATCTATTTTTCACGTATTTTCTAATTTTTTAAATGAATTTTTTTACTTTTGTAGGCATAATAAGTTGAATTACTTCGTTCATATATCTCGAAGTATTTGTTTCAATAAACAAGAACAAGATTGCGTTTGCTTCATTTTATGCAATTATAATAATAACCAATGAATTTTTACATATAAATCTCATTTATTATGAGAGAAAATCGATTCCGTTGGCTAAACGAAGATGGAAGTTTTCGATGCCGTGTAGAAAAATGTTCTTCCCGATATCTTTTTGAAGGGAAGAAGGCGAAAATATAAGAGAGAAAATATTTATCACGCGAGAGAAAGATGTTTTAAGCGATGGAAAAAGAGGCTGTTGCGATTACATAAGTATCATTCGTTGTTGTTAGATGGAGATGTAAAATAAGATTCAGAGTAATATATTATTAGCGATATAGATCACATCACGATCGTCATGATATTATTAAATGTTACAATCGACCGTCATTCGCGATCGGCGAGATGCAGACCGAGATGCCGATGGCTTTATCGAGAAGATGGTATTGTTGGAGATTTGGAGAAATTTTATAGAATGAAAATTATAAATGATAGGCACATGAAAAACACGCATACACATACACACACACACACACACAAAACATAACACAAAACACATATACACATACGCGTGTACGTGCGTTTCCGCGGCAATGTGGAAGGAAAGAAAGTCTCGAATACTCGTAATTCTTGCGATAGAAGATACATAATAGGCAGGCACCCGACGCAAGCTATTGTTGTATAAAGTAATTAATTATTGTAATTAAGATGACTGCCAAATCGCGTAATACTTGAGAATCCGCGCTCTTCGCGCGCCGCACTTAGCGCTAGACTCGTTTTCAAGTTTTTGCCTATAATAAAAGGAAAAAAATCACCTCGAACGTCATCGTAAATCGACAGTCGTCTGATCGCATTTAATTAAATGCGGAAGCTTTGATATCGACGTCGCACAAATGTTTTAGGAAGAGTCATTCCTATGATCGCGCGACGCGAAAAAGTCCATAATAAACTGCATTTTAAACGAGCTGAGAACAATGTCACCCAGCGTGATCTCGATCGATCAATTCTGATCAATCGCCAGTACACCAACGATAACTGCCATTCAAATGGAACCACCAATGAAAATCAAAGGGAGTAATCTGCGAAACGCGGGGGAGTTTACTAATTTTTATGTTTTGTCTTGTACAGAGCGCCGGTCAAAAATCTGCCATTATTTATTATAAACGTATAATATATTATAAAAAATAAACTATACTTTATAAGAGATGAGATATAAATATTTTTAAGCATCTACGCAGTAACACACAAGCAGACAGATATTTTTGGATCTTTATTTTATTAGAAAATTAGTTATAATTTTAGTGAACTGTTAATTTCGTCTTTTATGTGAAATAAATAACATTCTTTCATTAAAAAACGCTACGAATTAATTCCAACACCTAATAATAAAAAAAGTTAATATTAATAAGTTCTTTTTTAAAAGAATTTGTTGTATCTTCAAAATATTTAACTTCAAACGTCTTATAATCAATTCCCCAAAAGTGAAATTCTGAGAAAATAAGTTTTACTTCAAATTATTTGCACAATCAAAAATTTGTTATTGTCTAGACATTTTATCTAAGAAAATTAAGATCTAAATATCAGAAGGATATATTTAAATCTTTTAATTTTTATTCCAACAGGGGATAATTCTTAATTATATATCAGTACTTTAGGAAGTGAATCTTTAGAGTCAAGATAAAAAATTCATGTGAATACCCATATAAAATTATTATTAGATATTTTTAAAAATATTATAAATATATAATATTATAATACAAATACACATGTGCATTATAATTATATTATTCCATTTTGAATAATATTTTAAAATATCTAATAATTATATATATGCATATATTTTTTCTGAACTCTATAAATTCATCTCCTAAAATATTAATATAAATAATTAGAAAGCACTGCTTAATCTCAGATCTTTGACTGGCGTTACGAAGAAGTGATCTTATCAAGAGTTTTCTCTCCCTTTTCGTAGTGTTTTTCCAAAACATACAGTACCAATCCCCCAAATAAAAGATTACTTTTATTGTCCGATTAGATACGTAAGTGCTCCCGCTCGAGCGTGTGTACGACGAATTTTGTCATTTTTGATAGTTTGCTATGTACATAAGAGTCTCTTCGATTATACCGCGCGATGACTATCGTGCGGCCTGTTAAAAATTTGTGAGCCCGTTTTATGAGAAAGCCAACATTCGGCAAGACTGAAGCTGATGTTACACATGCTTATACACATACAAAGAGAAACACGTAAAGAGAAATATCCAATAGAAATATACAAAATACACGCTGGCCGAGCGATATATCTGCGGCGTCTTGCGAAATAAGCGCCCAACGTACCCATGTGGAATCAACTTGAGTAATTTTATTATAAATATTTATGTATTTATATGTGTACACATATCCTCTCCAAATAAATGTAATATGTGTTTGAAAACTTCATCTTGATAATTGCAAAACACAATGCAACCACTTAAAAAAACATTGATGAGCTTACAAAAGAAATTACAGCATTAAGAATTATTGATTGATGACTTATTTTATATTACTGCATAATTATTATCATTGAGACAAGGATAAATCCATACATTTAAAAGTTAATGCAATATGTAAAAATTAAAAAGTATAATTCATTCAGAACTTACGTAAATAGCTGGTAAGTCAATATTGTTAAATTAAACGACCCTTTATCACAAATCGTAAAAAATTATTCATACTAACATTGCGGATTGTTAAAAAACGTAGAGCCTATTGCAAGTATCTTTATTACTTACTTTTTTTTTATAATAATCACAACACAATCCGCGTATTCATAAATCTATACAATGAGGATATTAAGAAAACGCAACAAGATACGCATAATGCGTTACCTCAACTCGTGCGCTACAACAAATATTCTCATTCGATTCGTCTAAGAAAAAAAGCCATTAATTATCGCACCTGGCATGCAATCAATGTTAGACAGTATATTTCTTCGTAAAATTAAATAATCAAAACAGTTCCATTGCAATATTTAATATTCAAATACAATTGCTTTAATACAATTGTTAAAATTATTTGACTTGCTTCATCACAATCGGAATCAATGTTTTGATATTTCTATACGGCCATATTAATATGTATTGTAATGTATATTGACTTAATATATATTATAATGCAAATTATAGAGTATATTACTATATATAAATATAAATTATAATATAAATTAATATATATTATAATATATATTAATATGATACACGTAAAATGCAAAAATTGTTACTATTATTGATCCCTTTATTTCATAGAAATGTGATGAAATCGTTACTCTAAATTCATGTATTTATAGTCCTTTATTATTTAATCGTGAATCTAAGTTTTAAAGAGAAATATCGCATTTAATGATTTTTCGATTAGCATTCTCAAGGATCCAAAAAGTTTTACGTTGTGTTTAGGAAGAAAGTATTCTGTATAATAAATTAAGAAGGATATATTTTCTAGGGAGAAGATACTTTGGAATTCTCTCATCTATATTTCGTAATTTCTGATGTTTTCGCAAGCTTCGATCTTTTATTCGACGTCGTTAACTTGCAATATTCTGTTTATTTGGCTACAATTGGCATTAGCCTAATAACATAATTATAAATTATATACAAATAATATTACATAAATTCGTCCAACAGATTGTGCATACATAACCGGTACGGTTATTCAACAAATGTTCCACGCTAAGTTTTTGTTCATATTACAGTAACAGTTCGAATATTATTAATAGTAACAAGGAAGGTAATACTTAGCATGGATGGAAAAATACAAATAGCAATCTTTCTTTTAGATCATCATATAAAAATGAAGGATATATTTTCATGTAAAAGTACTCATTCAAATTATGCGTAGTATTTACTGTTCATTACTTTCCTTATTTCTTGCACAAGTATGACTAGCTCTCTACAGCTGTCTCCAGATTGTTATGGCCGCTTGCATTGTTCTATCATATGCCGTTCCAAACTTATGATAACTTAATTCCATTGAAACGAGATAATAATTGTTTTAATCAATTATTATACAAATTATATATATGTATAAGATTCAGCACCTTCTTTTGCTCTCGGAAGTCTTGTTCAAAAAATATTCTTACAAACGTACCTTAAGGCATCATTGCAAAAATAAAAAATCTAAGCAACGCTATTCTTATATTACAATATAGCTAAATTAAACCCGGATTTGAAATGCTTGTAATGATGAATAATTACAAGTCAAAGCTCATACAAATAGAGATGAGCTTTTGCTCCGACAGAGGTAAAATATTTATATAAAAGACGAACAAAGAGTGACATTTGTTCCAGAGAAGAGAATTTAACTGACCATTGCTCTGAATATCTAATATGGAAATGGGAAATATATCTTTTATCATACATCGCATGTTTTAGAAATAGTTTTAACTAGTAATTTGATTCGGTTAGAAATATTCTTAGGAATTATTTTTCATTCCGTGTCAGTAACTTCTCTCCTAAGGCATGCACGATTCTCAAACGATTTGTAATCCATGACGATACTGATTGCTATTCCAACGCGCACAATCACAGATTTTTGACGTAGCGAAGACATTCTGCTGCACCGCTGTGTTCCCTGTCTCCCAGCTTTGACAGAGTCTAGACACGCTTCCGTTACATTCGTAAGAACACTCCGCAATGCGCGTCATGCTTTTCATAGATCACATGGGAGCGTAATCGAGTTGAACCGTGAGATGTCTAACGCCTGCTGCCTGGAAAATCTTTTGCGTTGTCATCACGACAGATTTGGGATCTACTTCTCTCGCCACCTCCAGTTTTAAACATCCGACGTACACATCCGAGCACAGAGTCCAAAAGTGTGGTTCCTGGACACTGTAGACACCGGGTATCTGTGTTACTTTGTTGTAGCACTGCGACAGAACATGATCCAGAGCTACTGGCTGTCTTTGCATAAGTATCTCCCACGACTCTTTCATCAATGAGATTACACTTAAAACTATCAATACTGCTATAAGCATAGAGCATATCGGATCAGCGATCATCCAACCGAACATTTGCATCAGTACTGCCGATATAATAACTCCCACGGAGCCGAGAGTGTCTGCAAGTATGTGCAAGAATACGCCCTTCATGATTTGCGAATTCGTACCACTGAAGGACATTTCCATCTCGACATGATGATCATAGTTATGATTCAAAAGAGAGTAGTCATGATTCTGGGAGTGAGAGTGACCATGGTGTCCCCTCCCGCTATGACTATGACCATGGCTGTGGCCGTGACTATGTCCATGTCCATGTCCATGTTTAAATGCACATATTCCTACTAAATTCACTATCAATCCCAATACAGAGACGACGAAGAGTCTCTCGTGTTTAATTTCCGGTGGCTCGATGGCTCGTTCAACTGCTTCCGACATGATAAATAAGGCTATAAACAATAGGAGCAGTCCGTTCACAAAGCCACCTAACACTTCGGCTCTAACGTATCCATATGAGTATCTGTCGTTTGCCCTCCACTTGGTGATGACGGATGCCGCTAAACCAAATAGCAGGCCAGTGCAGTCAAAGAACATGTGAAAACTGTCGGAGATGAGACCGAGACTGTTGGTCCATATTCCATATAGCAGCTCGACGAAGGCAAAGGACAGGTTGAGAATCAGGAACAGAAACAAGTTACGGGTGTTCGGGTCAGAGAAAATGAGACGTTTCCAACTAAGCAGCTTCTCCTTGATCCTACTTCGGAAGTTGGAACGTGAGTCGCGTGGACTGTGAGAAAGGGGCAGCATCTTGGAATCACACTGAGCCTACAGGCGTAAATCTGTCCTAAGGAGAAAATTTAGTGTCATGATAAGATGGACCAAAAAGTGAATAAAAATAAACATCAGTATCAAAGTCAAATAAAGGCAACATTTCGGTATTAAGATAAAACATTAAAGGTTGTTTCACCTTTTAAATTTTATCTGTTAAGTAGCAAGATTATCCAATCACATGCGCGGATTATCAGATTTATCTCACAGGTAAAATTTACCAAAAAGTGTAACAACCGGTAAGTAAAGTTTATACATTAAAATAAAACAAAGATATTAAAGTAAAACTTTGATATTAAAATAAAACAAAAATATCAAAGTAAAAAGTTTCAGTATTAAAAAATAAAACAAAGACACTAAAGCTTCCATATTAAAAAAATAAAACAAAGATAGGACACTAAAGTAAAGGTTTAGTATTAAAAAATATAATAAAGACATCAAGGCAAAGCTTTGATAATAATACAAAAGTACCAAAATAAAGCTTCGCTAAAGCAAAGACATTCCAAATAAGTTCGTGCCTTTTTTCTCAGAAATTACATTTGTATTTTTCACAACCTAAATAGTAAAATGATCGTCTATATTTCCGTAAATGTGTATAATTATATATATACATATGTTGACATAAAACATGTCGCTCTTGAGGTAAAATAAATTCAGAAATCACGTAAATTCTTAAATTAACAGCAGACGCACATCTGTCTCAACAAAGTAGTCAAAGACTCCCGGAGTCTTTTCTGCAACACCAGGCACGAAGAGACAAAGCGTAGTGATTAATCAGACCAGTCGATATACGGTATTGCCAGCTGTTTGACACGCGTCAAGTTCCACTAATTGGAGCAACACGTACAAACATGTGCGTGCATACATACGTACATTCACGCGCGGCCACGTCCAACGTTCAGGATACTCTAACCTAACCTAACCTAATCCGCGCCCCGTGCGAGACTCACCTGTCGCGCTGCCAAGTCCGTCCCGTTGATGTCAATCCGCTGTCCCGTACCGCATGCCGACTGGGCCATGCCGCGTGGTCCCAGTCGATCGGTCGGTGAACGGGCAGAACGAAAGGAACGAGAACCGGCTGCGTCGCAAATGGAAACGAACGCGCGAAATTAAATTCGACGATGACAGTCGACGTTTCTCTTCGTAACTGTCAACACTCGACGACTCGTCTCCCCGCAATAAGTCCACGTCGCCGTGACTTCGATCAACGTAGTTGTCAGTAGTTACTGGATTCGAGCCGGGAGAATTGACGTAGATGGCGCGACGATTGCTGTCGCCAGCGGAAATGACGTCACGCGGACACGCCATGACGAAGTCTACTTCCCTTTTCTTTTTCACGCGACAGCCACCATGGTAAGTTCACGTGTTAACTGTGCGACATTTTCAATACGATTCCGTAAAAGATCCATAGATATTACGTAGAATATGAGAGCCTCATGAAAAATGGTAAATTTTTATTAGATTACGAGTTACGCGTCGGTGCATCATGTTTACATACGAAAAGCATTTCTTGTCATTGGATCCTCCACGTTGCTACAGCAAATTTCATTTTTTTGCTTCATGTTTTTACTTTAGTTTGATAATGGTATAATATTTAATGCTAAAAGCAAGATAATGATTATATTCAAAGAATATATTAAAATAAATAACTAGAGATTATCACGTCGATAACATAACCTGTCTTTTTTTTTCTTATGCTTGAAATGAAGTTTACTGTCTGTTAATATCTCTATAAACTCCAAACGATGTCTTTGCACAAATTTGAATGCAAACGTGTCGTTCTCTTTTTTCAGTCTCTTTGAATTTTAAATATCACATTCTGGGTTGCATTCAGAAGTCTGTTTTCAGCTAAAAGTTTTGTATATATTTTCTCTTTCTCTTCAATATGAAAAGAAAAAAAGAAATATAAGTCGTGCAAGAAGTTCAACTAAAGAGAACAAGCTCAGGTAGAGTTATTACTATAGCACTGTTACCAGGGCTGAGACATATGAAGTAATGAAGTATTTTCATTTGAGAAACATAATTGTATTTTGTATTTCAAATGCTAAGATTGACAATCAATCTTATTATTTGAATTACTAAATACAAAATACTTTCAATCTTTCGATTTGAGATACAAAGAAAGCACTAAAGAAGTAAGTTTAAACAATATATAAAATAATTCAGACAGTACCTCTCCAAAATATCAAAGAGATTTTTTTGTGGATATGTATAGATCTATATTTTTGGTAAAATTTATGATGACCAGTTATTTTCTAGATAAATACTATGACAGTAAAATACTGATTTAATGAGTCTGATCATAACTCTTGGATACAATCAAATTTTATCTTTCAAACGTGTCTTATGTTTGATCTTTTATTACAGCCGCCCAAAAAGGATACGAAGAGTTCCTCTAAACAGCCTCAGAAAACCCAGAAGAAGAAGGAGGGTGGATCTGGTGGAAAGGCCAAGAAGAAGGTTTGTATATCTCAATATAACACTCATGATGGATAATTTCAAGCAATTAATCTCATTTGATGTACATTTTTCAACTTGAATAGCTATGGAAGTAAAAACTGATTTAATGAGTCTGATGAGATTTGATTAGATTTTTTCTTGTTATTTTTAATATAACGTTAAAATCGTTTTGATAATGTTCTCTTTCTTCGTATTCTTGTAGAAGTGGTCCAAAGGAAAAGTACGTGATAAGTTAAACAATCAAGTACTCTTCGACAAACTCACATATGAGAAGCTATTGAGAGAAGTACCGCAATACAAATTGATTACTCCGTCGATTGTTAGCGAAAGGTTAAAAATTAGGGGATCTCTCGCAAGACGGGCACTGATAGAACTTCAACAGAAAGGCTTCATCAAGCAAGTCGTGCAACATCATGCACAACTTATCTATACACGTACTACTAAGGGAGATGACCCAGCAGTATAATATGTAAACATCAATTTAATAAAAAAAATTTTAAACCAAGATACAATTCTATACTCTTCTAACCATATGTTTACAATCTATTAACTAATTACTAATTATTAATTAGTTTTCACACATAATTACAAATATCATTTGATGATAAAATTTAATTTATTTCAGTATTAATTAAAAAATATTTTGTGTATGATAATGCACATATTGGATAATTCAAAAGCTAGTTAAAAAAATCAATGAAAACCCATAATAAAAGAATTTTTATTCTTGAACAATTTCTAAATAAAATAGACTTTATTTTTCTGATAGCATCTGATCGCGTTGAAAGTGAAAAATCAAATTTTTTGCACAATACATTGTAATAAATTAATTTGTTGGAATGTCTTTATTTACATTTAACATGATGAATTGACAAATTATATTAAAATAGTCGATATTTTTTTTTATTACTGTACATTAGTAAGCACATTATAATTCCATGTACATATTTTTTTGTATCACACCATCCACACATCTCCGATAAAAATGAATACAGGATTAGTAATTATATTTTTATGAATAGTCTGACTTTTTATCAATTATTTTGTGAATATCAATTTATCAAACTATTGAACCTGCAAAAAAATTATTTTGACATATATTACAAGAAAAAGAAAATAATATGTTTCTTATTTTTGATGGCATAATTCAAGATGGCTGTAAGAAGAAAATATATAGAAGTTCTTTAAGCAAGTTAAGAAGCAGGATTTAATTTTTTAATCGTTATAAAAAATATTACAAAAAGGTAGAGAAGTTATATTTAAATAAATTTATCATTTTATTACATTTTAGTATAACATAAAAAATAAGTTTTGTTTTATATTAAGGAACAATATTAATATTAATACATAGAATTTGGCAATTATATTTATAGATAATTCATAGCAGAAGAAAATTAGCAGAAAATAGAAAATAAAACTTAATTAGAAAATAAATTCGAATTGTCCAATTTATTCTAAAACCATATAAATCAACAAATATTACTATTTTCTGCTTTATTTATATTATTCATACTATTTATACTATTTCTCCTATTTTTTATCATACAGAATGTTTTCCATGTTAACTCTCTATCTGAGGTATTTTTATTGAAATGTTTTAAATCCCTTTAAAATTTGATATTTTAGGATACGTATTTGCATCGGGGATAACATTTTATTGCATCCGTTTGATGTACACGTAATTTGAGTTCTGTAATTATCCCTATTTTTAGACGGATAATTATTATTGGTGCTTTCCAACAAATACGACATAATGATCATGTCAACTTCATTTAACATTGACAAATACCAAGGATGTAATGATTCATTGTGTTACACTGTATCATACGTGTCTCTTGCTGGAAATCACCCTATTTCTATTCTCAATATCACAGTGTCCTATTGTCAAACATAGTTATCTAAGCCAGATAATCGATTTGTGTGCGTATGCCATTGATCATTAGCGTGCTTTGGATTTTTAAATAATTCCGGTTTAGAGTCAATTAGGTTTTGTATCTTACATAAATCTATACTCACTTTGAGACAAAATTCATTATTTTTTATCCTAGTCTCACCATTACGACGTACAGTATTTTCTTGAAATGCTATGCATTGAATGAACTTTTTAGAATTGCACGCATCGATCTGCTTACTTAGGATACTATGTTCATTAAACTTTGCAATATTCGAGACACGCGTGACGTTCTGATTATTGATTTTCGACTTGACGTTCATACTATTTAAATGTTTTAAACCATTCTGTGATGTCGGAGAATCGTCTGTATGATCATTATCAATTTCATCAGTATGTTGATTCAGAACAGTGATATCATTTTGCGATATTTTCTCAATGTTTTTATTCATATTAACATTTAAATCAAAATCAACACTGTGTACTATTCTATTAGTCTCCTTGAAAAATAGTTGAGCCCTGGACTTTTCTTCTGTATGCACAGAAATTATACTGTGTATAGACGCTTGTTTATGTTGCTGTACAGTTTCTAAACTAACTCGTGAACCTTGGTTCGAAATAAGCGGTACAATAGTATCTACATTCGTATTGCAAATTGTTCGATTTAATACACTTACATTAGTATCACTTGAAACGAGACACGTCTCACTGTCATTCTCATTTTTAAAACAGTTATTCATTGCGCTGTATTGCTCAATATTAGTTGTCGTGTTCACATTGTCTAATGTATCGTTATGCGATAGTACTTTAGATCTGATCGGATTTAAATTCTCTTTAGCATCATCCCGACTGTGCGCTATGTACATTTTGTCATTAATTAAAAAATTTTCATTTTTCAAAGAGCAAAAATGTCTCTCAGTTGTAATATTGTTGATATCTGAACTGCACGAAGCTTCACGAGATGCAATGGTAGACATTTTTTTTGTTTCCCGCGATGCAGCTACATCTGCCAATCTCTTACTTTCCTTGAGGTTCTTCATCGAAATATTTACGGAGAACGTATCGTATAAGATCATCTAAACAAAAAAAATATAATTAAATTAATGCATGACAAAAATTGATAAATGAAGTCTAAGACAATTTCAAATCATAAACAAGGAATAGGGAACAATAGATTTAAAAATACTTGTATACTTGAATATATAATTCTTGATAAGTTGAATCTGTTATTCTGTGTTCTTATTGCCTGCTTCTTAATTATATCCCAAGTTTTATTGTTTGTTGTTATCAATAAAATCTATTAAAACATACTTCAATATTGTTCGATGCGCAGACTCGAAATTTCAGGTCCTGTAGATTCACGTAACGCGGTATCAGTCCAGGTCGATGACATGTGGTATGGTTGTTAGTGATTTGTGGGAAGACACTGCAGGTTGCGCTAGATCTTTGACGGGCAACGGTTTGTTTGTCGAAGACACTATACAATAATAAATTAATATTAATGCACAAAAAAGATTTCATCATTCATATATAGAATTCAATTTTCATTCTTTTTCATCGTGCTGATTTGTCAATCATTTACACTCAGAGAAAAGTTTCTTCGATTTGAATGTCATTTCTTGAAATCAAATTATAAAGTTATATAAATTGAAAAAATTGTTTCTTTCGTTAATTTTTTTAAGTTGAAATAAAAATACTTCTGAGGAGAAAATAAACTCAAAGGTTTTTTTACTTTAACTTAAAAAAATCAACGAAAGAAACGATTTTTTCAATTTATATAATTTTTTTCTAGGTATACAAACAACTTACAACAAGAACCGAAGTTAATCATTGAACACTTAAAAATGTACTCACCTGTGGGAATAATTTGATGGGTCAGCTTTCTTATTGTTGGTAGATTCAGTCTCAGCAGGTCTGGTGCCTGCATCCCCGTCACACTGTTAGAATCGCAAGATATACACTGGAGAAGAGGTACGGGGAAACCGATTTACAACAACTCATACTCCCCGCACCGTGTTTCTCGCCAGAATATATTTCTATTTTACTTAATTAAAAACGCGGTATCTTCACGAAGATTTATTATATAAAAATATTTTAACGTTAATCATACTAATAATGATCTTTTAGTTCCGGAAATTTATTTTATGTGCATTTTATGAAACATTTTTAGTTTTCGACTGGATATTCAACATGGTAATTGTTGAAGTTCTTGAATTACTTACGTTCTTCTTGTGTGTCGTCTTGTTTGTGGAAATGTCCTCAATACTAGATGTACTAGTAGGTACATCTTTCCTTGAGGCAGCTTCTTGTTGATTTACTGTTACTATTCGTTTGTCGCTCAGAATAGGCGCAGTTACATTGGTCATTACTGGTTGATTTACGAGCAGAGGATTGCTAAGTACTGTTGAGTTATTAAGCACAGTGATATTATCTTTCACACGCGGTAGAATTACGCTATTCGATGATATACCATACAAGTTTGTTTCATTTCTTCTATCATTTTGATCAATGGCCGTAAAATTCGGGTTAGGTATTTGTTGAAGATAATAACTACCAATTGGTAACAAAACTGGATTATTCTTAGTGAAAGTTACAAATTCTGTCGTATTTGCTTGTGTGACACGATTTTCGTTCCTCTGGTTTAGATTAACATGTACAGCGTTTCCTTCCAAATTTGATAAAATTTGATTCATATGTTGCACATCATTTGCCTTAATTTGTATATAATTGTGTTGTGAAGATAAATTATTTGCTGAATTCTTACTTAACAACGGAATAAACTTGTTTGCAGATGTTCTTTCACTTTGCTGCCTATCTATATTATTTGTACTATTTTTTGCATCATTTTGAGTATTATTTGTCTCATTTCTATCAGATACTGTAGTTCCGACTCGAGAACATGTTTCAAACAATCTTTCGTCGAAATTATTTCTTTTGATCTTCTTGCAGTTGTTAATGTTACTCGCTGAAAAATATAATATAATGTTATCAATCATAGTACACAACATAATAAACTTCCTTTTCTTTTTCTCCATAAATTACCTTCGTGCATGCTACGCTTCGACGAGACAGAGGTAACGAGTTGCTCCAATTTTTCATTTATAGAAAGAGGCGAGGTATTAGTGGTATTCGCATGTAATGTGATATTGTCACATATAACATCAGGTACATTTTCGAACACTTCAGGTGGCAGAGAAACAACATTAGTAATTTTGATATTCATAAATGACGTTTCGCTTGTTTTTTCCGTGTCCGTTTTCACATCGTTTGAAGTAATTAGATCTAATGTAGATTCTTGTGATGTAAGTACATCGATTTGGTCTTTGGAGATGGTAGATTCGTTTTTCTTCGAAGTTTCTCTTTCTGATGCAATAGGTTTTGATAAATGGATATAATCCTTTTCTAATAAATCAATTGTCGCTATACTTTGGCTTTTAGATCCCACTGTTGCATTTAACTTCTTCGATGTTGATGTGCTAGGAAGACATAAACTGCCAAATTGTGTAAGCTGCTTCATGTGAACAGGTGAAAGATTCGTTTTTTGTGTTAATGAAATAAGCTGTAAAAGTAAATCAATATCAGTAAATTAAACAGTAAATTTACGATAACGCATATAATTTTGTTTAACGAAAATTCGATGCTTTTAATCATAAATTTATTAAAAGCATAATTCAAATTTTTTAAATTTCCCTCTTTCTAATTAATTAATCATTTACCTCTACATCATCGTCATCACTTTCAATTATGATAACATCCGTCTTCGTCTGAATCGGCTGAGATTTTTCATCATTTTTGCTGGGCAACTGTTTTTCTTTCCGGGGGCTATCTTCCTTATTTTTTCCTTGAAGATGCAACTGTTTTTCTTTCTGGAAGCTATCTTCCTTACTTTCTCGCTGAAGAATATTTTCTTTACTTTCCTTGCTTTCTTCACTTATCAATGGCTCCTTCTTCTCGTCATCATTTTTTGATAAGAATTCATTTTTTGATAATGATTCATCTTTCGTACTAGTTTCAATAGCAGCTATATTCTTTTCAAGCACAGTACTTGTTAAGTCCAACCTGTTAAGTAAAATAGTACATTACATCTAGCATATGTCCTATAAAATTGAAATATTTTCTATCGTTATCACAATCTATTATCGTTATTATTAACCATTGGCCTAGTTTGATCATTTGCTGTTGTAACTTAAAAGAACGTGGTCCAGGTCGCAAATTAATATTATCCAGAATAGACTCCAAGGAAGAAGTGGAAGATGAATCAGTCAAGGCGCATGGCATAGGGAAGTCAGTTCCTACAGAGATATCTGTATCACTATCCAAATCTGAATCTGAATCTGAATCTGAGTCTGAATTTAAATCTGAATCAGAATCCTTATTTTGACTAGTACTAAAAGAAAGAAAAAAGATATATAGATTAGACATGTTAAATGTGCAAGATGTTATTTGTTCGATTATAACAGTTCAAGATAACCATTTTAGGAATTTTCTACCATTTGTAAGATTAACAAATAGACACGATGCATACCTGCCTATTGCAGAACTGTTGCCTAGTTTTACACGATCATTACCTTTATAAAAAAAAATACATAAGACAAATGTCATAATTAGAATGTATTTCTCTCTTACAATATGCTTACTTAATATAGATGTACATTCTTCGCATTCCCACACCGGATTAGCCCATTTCAACTGTCCGCAAGACATATGGATACCTTGTGAACCGCAAGTACGACATAGGGCCAATTCCCATTTACTATATATTTTAAAAATATTTTGTTTCTTGTATAGCATATATAGCTTTAATATCGTTATAAGCAATTATTACTTACGCGTTAGTACTTGTATACTTCCTTCCCTTTGGACAAAGACATTTCGGTGCATCGCACTGATCATGCCTATACAGAAGCTCTTCAAATGCATTTGGTTCCAATTCCCACGAAGCATCTCTAATTATATAAAAAAATTCTTATATGCTGTTATGTATTTTATACGTTTTTTGTATATATAACAAATTAGTATAGCATAGTAAATATTTAAAGTAAGTTTCTGCTAAAGTATTTTTCTACTAACTTATACCAACAACTGAATTTACAAAACTTAACGAGTTGTAAAGAAAGTAAAAATAAATGACTGCTGAATTTTGTTTTGCCATACTTACTGACTTGGCACGAAAATGCCGTATTCTAACATAGATTTTTGAAAATCTTTTTTATTGTTACATAAGGGACACTTGAAAAAATACCCTGCACTCAATGCAAGTTGCTGAAAAATGAGAGAGTCTTGGATATATAAATCTGTATTCATATTAAAAAAATAGTATGAAGCCATATTAAGATTAACCTGAACACAAATGCGATGAAACCATGCATCTTTTTTACAACAGGGTGCCCATAATGTTTTCACAAAGTCATTAGTATTAACTTTATCATAACAAATATAACACATTACATCTACTGCGGCAGCCTGCTTTAGAACCTGTTCATCAATCTTTTGTTTCGGCCTGTGGTTTATGCAATATGATCTGAAACATTCCAAATAAATTATTCGACGATCAGTGCAATCATAATCGATCAATTTGGTATTTTTCTTTTACCTAAATTCACCGAAAAACTGATGCAGAGAACCAGCTTTCATGCCACAAGGAAAATGAAAGATCCGTTTGCATCTTACGTTACAACAACCTAAAGTAGCACCTTGCTTTTTGCAGTACGAGCATACCTAAAATTTCATTAAAATCTCATTCGTTAGAATGTTTATTAGAAGTTTAACAAGCACAAATATAATTTTAAAATACTCAACTCGTAACAAAAATATATTTTTTATGTGTTAAAGGAATATGAGATTTACTATTAACTTTATTTACTTACAAAATTATAAGGAAATTGAATTTATAAGGAAAGACCCCAACTTAAAAAAATTATGAAACTTTGGCAATAGAACTGGTGTTTCCATTTGGTAAAACAAGTCAACACAAGTATCATTCTTAATCTTTGTTACTCATAGATTGCAAAGAAAAATGTTTGTGTCGACATGTGTCATTAAATGGAAAACACCTATTATGATACTTTTAATATATGTACCAATCTCTTTCCCCTACGAAGTTCCTTTTGTATATCTTCAGCAAGGAATCCAAGTATGCCTTCGTCATCATTTCCTTTCTGTTCCATGTTCGAAGACAAGAGCTAAAAGAAAATTTGTATGATTAATGTCCATTTTCATCAATGTAGATTAATTTTAATCTCGATTCAACTTAGAGCCTCTTTTACCAATTCCGATTAATGTTAATCGATGGTTGACTTAACTGCCACAATGTGAGAACTAAACATACAGTCTAAAAAAATATATTAAACTGCTGTTAGCACCTCTGCAAGTCAATCATCAATTGATTTAATTAGAAGTTGGTGAAAAAAGCTCTTATACTTAATCTTTTTCTAATTTTTAGAATTAGAAAAAGATGAACAGTAAGTTGAAATGAGGTTAAAATTAATCTATATTGGCATAAGTAGATAAAAAACAATAATTTTGAAGATATTCCTATCTCTCTAGTGTTTATCTCAAAGTTTGTTTTCTATAAGCTAGTATACACTTTTGAAACAGATTTATATTTAATATTTGGTGAAAGTTTTACAATAAACAGACATCTTTTAAACCTAGATATCTTTTGGACACACTCATAAAAGAGATCAGATAGACTAGCGTCTTGATATATTCAAGATTATCGCAACATCGAAAACCTACCAAACAATAATAGTGAGTGGCAATCCCATTGTGCTCATAGATCTTTCCATATTCCAGCTCATTGTCCTCGGCCAAATTGCAGAAGGAACAGACCGGAGGATGAACCTTAGAAGAGGATGATCTGTTCTTCGAGGACATTGTATTTGAATAACAGAAGCAGGAGCTCGCGAACAGTCACAGCCGAACAATGCTCGGCCGGGGTGGCAACACAATGATAAACTCGAGCATCTCACTGTCACAACAGAATCTGCTAACTGTGTTACGACACGGACGTGACACAAATATGCCGCGAAACGGTTTGGTATGATTATCTAGCAGATCTAATGGAGATGGAAACTTCACAGTATTCACCTCGCATCATATATATGGCGTACATACAACAATTACTGTAAAAGAATCACAAAAGTCGCAAGTCAGGACGTGACGTTTTCTCCAGAAGTGCTTAAAATTTTCAAAATCATTGAACTATTCACGTGGAGAGGACAAACGAGAGCCACAAACAAAAGCGCCTTGAATCTGAACAGCGTTAATAGTGTTGATAACCGTTCCAGTAAGACGTTTCCAACAATGCCGCTGACAGGAACAGCGATCGACAGTAATCGAGGCGCTTTAATTCTGCGAATTACTACTACTAACCATTACGGTAATTTGATGTCTCTCTCTATTCTTATCAGATTCATGACTTAACAACGAGGAAAGTTATCCTTTCCTCAGATTTTCGTCTCATTCACGTGAGGCGTACGATCTTTTTAAATATTTATACGTCTATGACGTGGACTAGTATCAATTTGCTTCCATTAATTTGGAGGGAAAACGAAGCTTGACGAAACTGTTGATCGCTCATCACTGATTGGTTGCGACGAAGCAGCTGTGAAGAATATGCATTTCTCATTTGTTATTTCACGAATCAACAACCAATCGCATATCCATTCTTTATATGAAAATAGCATTTTATAAATTTTCGTTACAATAGGCCCATTTTTTTTAATTTTTGCATCAGTTCATCTTTCTTCTACTTTCCTCTTGAAGAGAAAAGGAAGAAAGATGAAGTGGCAAAAATTCAGCTAAACAGGTCGTATTTATGAATTCGACAAATAATTATAATATTGACATTTCGACTGTGTTTACCGATTGTCAGTTTACAGATTGACAGTTTTTATCTTTTCTCCTATCTATAAATATAAATATTAATTTCAAAATTAAATAATAATTAAATAATAATTGATTAAATTAATTAATTAATAATAATAATTGAATTAATAATAATAATAATTAAATAATAGTTAACAAATTAATTAATTAATTAATTTAATTTATAAGCATTAATATCTATAAATATTAATTTGAACAAAAGTTATGCCGCTTTTCAAGATTATGTTTTTTGAACTTTACATAGAAATTTTACATATTATTATTATTATATATTTATGTTAAATTTACACTTTTTTATGTACAAAAGCAATGTAAAATATGTAAGTTATTATCTATAAATTAGGAAACATTATCTATAAATTAGAAAGAAGTAATTTTTTTAATTTAGTATTGATATATACGTATAAAAATATATGAGCGAGATAATTGATATAGAAATAATGGGAATTTAATTAAAATTCATGTATTATTCAATTTAAAATATTTAATTGTAAAAATAATTCATCATTGAGGTCTGATTCCACCAATGTAAGATTAACTCTCTCGATTCAATTTATTAACTTTTTTAAAATTTTTAATTCTAAAAATAAAAAAAAGCTAAACAATAAATTAAACCAAAATTAAAGTTACTCTTATTGGTGGAAATGACTTACAGTATTTACAATAATGATAACAGTATTATTGTACAAAAAATATTTATAATTCAATTGAAATTAGAGCACTGATTTTCTTTTAATTGCGTATGTATATCAAGTACAAAAATTTATTTCCTTTGTAATCAATACCATTCAGCAACTGCATTTAATTCCTTGATTCCACTGGAATTATTTCCATAAATAATATTATTCAGATAGGAAACTTGCGCAAGCTCTTTACGAACTTGTGCCATTCGGTATAAAACAGGACAGTCCAAAGACACGCATTCTATGTTACCCAATCGTCCAATGCAGGAATGACAGATCTGAAAAAAGTTCATTAAAATTAAATAATGATTATTAGCCACAATATATAGCTTAATATAAATATTCACGTCTAAGAAAAAATTTATGCTTGTTCGCATAAATCTCTTCTCTTTTATGCTTACAGCAGTAATTTGTTGATGATTTCTTTCCAATTGTTTTATCTTTTCGAGAAGTACGAGGACAGTCCGGCTTGGCTGCAAAAGGCAATCTGGACAAATTTCTTTATTGGTCTGTTCTCCACAGGTAATGCACGACGCGGAACTGAAGAACTGGCGAATAGTGGACTTTGGATTGTCTCCTCCTAAATGTGCGATATTATCGAAATTTGAACGATGGGAGATTTCTTTATACCTGCAAGTGCGATATTCGATTACAATTCGATGAATCAGTAATTACGCGTGTTATCATTATGTTATTTAAAAACTCGAGAGAGTATTCTTCAAGAGAGTATTCAATGGTTACATTATAGTATTTTTTTTATAATAAGAGAACAAGATTATTTGAAGTACACAAATATGTCGTTTAAATATTCACAAGTAATCTTCACAGCTTTCACATTTACCACGCATTAATGTCGATTCGGAATAAATTAAAGCAGCGATTGAGAGGCGGTATGATGACTTTCGTTATGTAATACACAGAGTTCGGAATTAATGACGGATCGGCGACAACTTCCATCGGCGTGCGCACGCAGTGGATGAGCGCTTGATTTGGTGCACCTGCGACAATGACATAGCGAACACGCTCGCTGGTGCGCGGCACAGCGCGAGGATCCTTCTTGATCAACCTACGTGTTAGCTCCAACGCTGGCACGCAAGCGTTGGCTTTGTATCCGTGCATTCCACGAAATTCTTTCGCGAATGTAAGATCCAGGATGGATACGCGCCGCTGAAAGATTTTGTCAAATTGCCTGATTACATACTGCTTCACTAGAGAGACATCCTTCGTCTCGAACAAAATTTTGAGGGCTTTTTCAAGTATCTGCAATATGCGAATATTTAACATTAAAGTTATAAGGATTTTCTTCTTAGCGTGTTTATCGTTCTTCTTTTTTTACTTTAGAAACTGCGGGACATCCATCTCTGCGAACCGTCTCGATCCCTTTAGCCAGGAACTCGGGCTTCTCTTGATCGCGAGTTTCATACATATATCCGCAATATCGTTTTTTTGTCTAAAATTTTAAATTTAACAATATGATCATTGTGATCTTTACTTTATATATAGTAATCATTAATCTTGTTATTTTTTAATATCTTACTTGCAAAATAGATGGATGAAGAACTTTCTCAAATTTAAGCTTCACGGGCGGGGGATTAGTTGCGGTAACAGCATCTGCGATTTCCTCGCCGATAGTAAAAGCTTCTTCTCGAGATTTTCCAGGTAATAGTATAAATAAAGAATCTGTATCCCCATAAACTACTCGTGCGCCCCATCTTGGTGTGGTTTCTACCAATTTGATCGCACGTTCCAATGTCTCTCGCCCTTTACTAACTACGCTATCACCTATCTATTAAAAAATGTTATAAAATCATTTTCGCAGCATGTTAAAAAATTTTGTCAAATTATTCTATCTTTATATATCTCATTAAAACATTGTACCTCAATACATGGCATTCTACCGCTAAAATTAGCGGATGTATAGCCGTAAGTAACATTTGCAATTAACTTGAGACCCAATTGCTGAGAATGAAGAACGCGCTGCAACGTACGATTTTCTGCTGGATGCAGCTTCATAGATTCCTTCACCATCAGACGCGTATTCAAAATTTCCGAAAGCATACGCGGTAGTATTCCTTGACGTACCTCTTTCTTTACAAAGGCTACGCCGCAAGGTGAAAAGTTTATTTTATCTTGCAACTTTAATGCCGTATTCTTCCTTACTCTTAACGTTGCTGCACCAAACTCGAACGGCCCGTATCTAATAGAGGAAAATATGAAATTAATGAGTTTAATCTGATTTTTCCAATATTATAAATATACTCACTGGCCTATGTGTTCTATTCTCCCTAAACAGGTAGAGAAACAATAGTTATAAGCAATGATCATACTCGGATATAAACTTTGGAAATCAAGCACGATCAATGGATCGGTATAAAATTTAGATTCGGGTTCCATGATCAATGGCAGACATTCTGGAGCTCGCATCTTAGCTCTCTGGTGTATAGATGGCGAGATTGGAATGTAATTCATAGGTTTCGCTAATCTGAGCATTATAGACTCCACGCGAAATTGCGAGCCTCGCGAGAAAACTTCATAAAATTGTATACCGAAAAGTCGAGCGAGTTCACATGTGCGACCTATAATGAAACTTCAAAATAAAATAATGAATTTAAAAAGTTGGGAATAAATAATAATACAATAAATATTATAAAAATATAAAGAGAAAATTTAAGAGAATTTGAATTTTTAATTTTTCACCTATAACATCCAAATGACTTAGAAGCTTGAGAGTACCCACAACTCTGACGATATAATGATGTATAACTCTGCTTTTTATTATCATGCTTTCCTGTTTCCACCAAGTGGATAACGTCTTGAAGGAAGGACACGGAACTCTTTCATATAAAACATGATGCATGACGTTCTCAAAGGTGTATGTTAATAATGCTGGAAGAAATTAAATTATTCTTATATACTTTTGAATAGAAAAAAATATAAAGTGATATTAAAAGATATAGAAAATATCTCACCTGCTTCATGTCTCATAATCCTCCAGACATCGAGGAGATTGCGACCAGATACTTTTACATCACCTATGTCGTCCTTTTCAATCGCGTGAGCATCGGATTTGGAATATATTTGCATGTGTGGAACCCTCGAGATTCTCAATGGAAAGTTATTGAGACCAAGATAAAATGCTCGTTGAAAAACATAACCCCATGAAAGAGCTTCCACTTCCCAGCCAAGTAGAATGTCTGGATTGTGCCGCTCAATCAATTTTACAAGGCTGTTGAATGCATCCTGTTCCGTTGCAACATATAGAATTGGACACCTCGCACTAGCAGAATGGATCTTGTTGAGTCTTGCACTTATAGAGTTAGAATTTACAATTATAGCGGCTAAAACAAAAAAAAACATATTATCTGGATAAGTTTTCATTATACTTGAAGAAATATTAAATTTCTCAATTCGCAAAGCGAAGTTTCGAGAGATATAAAATATTGTTCACAAAATTATTAGTATTAATCACCATGTTCTATCTGCTCATTTGTCGTAGCATCTGTGGGAGCGTCGTTGTAAAGTGCGTAAAATAATGCAGCAATAGAATCATACTGCGGATCAGGGAGAAGATCTTCTCGAGTAACAGCGTGCACTTCGAGAGACAATAACGTTAAATACTGATGCTGCAGAAAATTTAAAGAAATGTGAAATGAGCTCTAGATTTGCTATATACAAATAAAATTAAAATAACATACTACTGTTACTGCTCTAGCTTTTTGAAGATTTTCGTTTGAGACATTACTTCCATAGCTTCCTTTAGATGAACATTCAATTTGACCATACGAAACACCTAGTTGTGTCTTATCCTGTTTATGTAATAATGGATTTGCCAGTGCTCTTTTTAAAGAAGGATCTAAACTCTTTTCTGATATCAATGAATCATTAGAATTTTGTGTCTCTAATTTCTTGGTTTCGTCAGATGTTTTATTCAACATGCTTTGTTGAGGCATTAGTGAATCTATATGACGCTCCACGTTTGAATCATTACTGATTAAATTATTAGACGTCCCTGGTTGAGATTTAATCTCTTTGTTAGTGGCATTAATCAACGGATGCTGTACATCTTGTACATTTAACGCCTTTTCTTTATTCTGCTTACATGATTTGGTATCAGAATTTTGTTTCGATATGTATTTTTTAGCTCTAATCCAATCTCTAACATTCTTAGAAGATGGTGGTGCCATAAGTGGTTTAATCGTTAACGAATTATATCCTGCAAGCGTCCGTTTGATATGATAAGATTTTATATTCGCTCCAAACGGATAAAATTCATTGACCTTCATTCTTCGCCACAGTTTAATACTCGTGATTTCTTCCAGACTAGATTTAAACGCGGGTTCATCGAAATATGAAGCGTTAGTATTCAAGAATTCTTTCTGTTTCGCGAGATCGAGTTTATTGCCGAAAAACGGTTTTTGCGATCTACATTTCGGAATGCCGTACATCGTCATACTTTCCAGAATCCTTTCAGGACTAGGAGGCTTGTATTTCGTAGTAATTGTAATTATCGCATTTTTCGATGAACGACGAGCCCTCTGCTCTGACAACGAACTGCTTTGACTGTCGCTCTCTATTTTTTGGTTGAGATGTTGGGTGAAAGTTATGTTACATACATCTTCTTCATCGTCGTCTAGATCAGTTTCAGGAATAACGTCATTATGAGTTTTTATAAATTTCTTTGCTAAGTTTTGTATGTCTGACGTATAGTTTCTTTCGGGAGATACATCATTAATACTTTTTTCTGTATATTGACTGTTTGGGACACTATCATCACTGTTTGCATTGCTGGAGATAAGTGTAGCTGTCTCTTCATGTACTTGATTACTCGAATGCCCAGGTGCGATTAAAGTTTCAGATTGATTCTTGTTAAAATCTGATTCTACAAAAGTATCTTCTTCATCATAATCCAAGAAGGATAATCTTTTACGAACCTCTTTATTCGTTTTAATAAATGATTTTTCAATGCTTTCCGTTCCCTTTTGGTGATCTTGTAATGATTCGTGAATCATTGTTGTCTTATCAATTTTTACAATATTGCTACAAATATACATATTAAAAAATTACTTAAATAATTTAAATAATTACAATTTTTTAACTATACAAAATATGTAGATCTTACACAATATTTATTTCATTATAAGTATCGTTATCAGTGCCATTATTTTCTGAAAAAGAAAGAAGTCTTTCATTTATATAAAAAAATAGTAAAAACCTATTATTATTAACAAAATGTCTATTAAATCAAAAATATGGTATGTTATTTCCATAAAAAATTAATTTCTAATAAATAAAATAAAGCTACTTGCAATATGAATTTATAGATCGATGAGAATAAATCTAATTAAATAAAAGAATTTCTATTCGGTTAAAGCTGATCTACTCGAATTACCTAATTCCGAGTTAAAAAATTTTTCACGAAGCAAGCTCACACGTAACGGACGTTTTTTGTGTTTTGGTGTAGTAGAAGTTGAAGGAATATCAGGTGTCGGTACGTATTGATTTCTTTTCGGAGATTCGCATTGTCGAACAGGATCTTTACTGGATTTCGGAGATGTAATAGTAATATTAAGAGGCGAGTAATTTCCTGACAACTGTGGACTTCGAGACGTCTTGCCTGGAGAATTATATTTTCTTTTTGGCGTCTTAGCCACGTTTCTTCGTTTTTTGGATGACTCGTGATCGTCGTCTTGAGAATCAAATTTCCTTTTTTTCGGAGTAATCTGAACTATATTTTGTAATACGTTCTTTTTATCAGATTTATAAGTGCACACGCGTTCTTCTTGTTTTTCAATTGTCACATCAGCTTCGGATTCAGCATCGCTCGAATCAGCTGTAGCCCCATCAACATTCGATATTGTAAAGTTTACTGAAAAATTATACAGTTCATGATAAAAGCAGTGATTGCTATTTAAAAGTCCTTCTTCTTGAATACACGATTTAAATTCTCGTTCACAATTACACTTATTTTCTTCATAATTTGTTATATAATTAACATGTTCCATGGTTTCTATCTCATCTATATCATAAACATCTAAGTCTCGATGATCTAGTTGCAACTGCCATCGAGTAACATATAATTCTTTTTCTGTCTTCTTATTATACACAATCCTTTTTCTATTGTCTTTTAAATAATGATTCTTTCTTGCGACAAAACTTATATCAATATGCGGATACTTTACATTTATACCTCGCAAATGTTTGCTTGTTTTAAAAAATATATGAAAATAATATCTATTTACAAAGTTATATAATTCTTTTCTTAAGTGATATCTATTGGGATTATTTACATTTATATATTTAATAATATCCATTAAATTAAAATTTCTATATAAAGTACACATGGTATAATCTTTTTTTGCATTAATGACAGAAACATAGTTATTTCTGGAATTTTTAGTTATTATTTTAGGAAGGTACTGAACTGCCATACAATATGCTATATTATCTTTATTACTCAAACTATTTGAAGTTTCTTCGTGTTTTGATACGATCTCATATAAATCATCAACTCCATCAACTTGTGGAAAATTCACGAGCGTGACATTATTTTCTTCAGTAACGTTTGAATCATCTGCAGATCCAATGTTCTGCTTATTATCTATAACTTTTAGCGTATTGTCATGTTGATTGGATCTCTGATTATACACTGATTCCCAAGAACTTAAGTCTAGATCAAAACTTGTAATATTTAAATCCTCAACCTCTTCTTCCTCTGGATCATCCTTAATTCGTTCGTTAAATATAGAATATTGAGATCCAAGAACGCTATCGTCATCTACATTACTCGCAATCTCATTTTTTTCCGCTAAATCAGCTAGCATGTCTACCAATTGTATATCATCTGCATCCACTATAGACAAAACAGATTTTATTTTTACTTTAATATAAATATATATTTTTATAATGCACTAAGTAATGTGAATAGAACATACTTACAAAAACTAGTATCTGTCATATTACTTTGACTTCGAGTTGCGTCTAAAAACGCTGACGATGCCAATTGCAACAATTTACAATTATCAGAAATTGTTCTTTCAAGATTTTCTTCAGATACAAGAGATTCGCTATGATTTAGAATATGAGATGCATTTAAGATATTTTCATTCTCTTCTACTTCAATAGGATATGAAGATATCATTGTATTTGAAGTAATTGTCTCGTTGGTCTAAAATAAAAGAATTAAACGGAATTAATATACACGTATTAATTATATTATCATAATCTAATGGAAACAATGTGAAATACTTGTGATATAGCATTCAGTCTTTTTAACAATTGATCCTTTTGATAAACATCATTGGTAGTTGGCGGTAAAATAATTTTGCTCGGAGTTTTGGGATATAATAATTGCGACTTTGCATTTTCTAGATCAGTTTCGGCCCTCCTTGCTTTCTCTTCATTCCAAATCGCAGCAAGACCGGGATTCAGCTTTAATTTTTCACTGACACTTTGCCTATTCAGAATCTCCGAAGCATACACATCTGCTTCCAACTCGCACATACTTTGTCTTGTTATTGATATCGGAAGATATGCTTCTGAATCTAAAAAATCCATTGACGATCTGTTTTGGCTATCTTCTGTTGCACATCCTTGCAAAGAGTGTCTGTATTTTACGCTATTTAAATTGATTAAATTCATGCCGTAGAGATTGTAATCTATCATAAATTGTAGAATATACGGAATGTGTGCCTCATATGGCTGCAGAGTTTGATTAAGAATAACACCATTCTGAAAAGAAGTTTATTTTACATTGTTCAATATCTTCCCCTTAAAATTACATACAGTACTATATGATTATATCTTCTATACAAAAAAATGAAGCAGAATTATTTACCTGCAGCAAATCTGCCGTCCTTTTAATTATAGCTGGATTATAAAAATATATTTTAAAAAACAAATGTTCTTTCTCATGATAACCATAGAAAGGTCTACAAAGTAACATACATATTACGCAATAAATAAAATAATAAATAAATGAAGAAAAATAAATATCTTTCTTCTATTAAAAATAAAAGATTCTGATTTTGCTTACATTCCTGATACTCGTTGAATTTTATACACATGTTGGTTGGTAGATAAAGTGGAACCAAAAGATGTATTGAGTGCAGAATCAATCGCTGCAGCCAGTTGATAAGCATAGCTATCCATATTCTCTTGGACAGTGCATGGGACATATAGATATGGAAAGACACCGTGAATGTGCAAGCATGTCTTCTTTCCTGGAAACCGTCAAACTTTATAAATGACAAAACTTTTTGATAACAGCTTAGCATAATCTGTAACATATTCTAAACATAAGATTATCTGCTATTTTTGTTCATTTACCTGTGGCAGTTGAACCGAATGCTCTGATTACCGGTACTTTTTTTATCTCGGAGCCACGGAACTCTGAAAATGTCACATCCAGCTCGGGTATCGGGGATGACTGATAACTATCAATGTTTACCAAAGTGATGGAAAACATGTTCTGTAATAAGAATACGTATAACGACTACAAATAAATGTGTTTAAAATAGAACAGCGTAATAGTATTCTGGTAAAAAGAATAACGGGAATCCGCTAACGAAATGCAGATCATTGAGAATCGAGACATGTGCGTGTTGATTCGATGATATAAACAAACAGAATATAGTAGAGGGCGTAGATAGGTGCGTTCGTTTCTGCACTTTCTGCATTTAAAACGAAATAAATATATACCTAATCCAGGTTTTAGTGCGAGAAGGAGATAGCATAGAAAGTGTAAAAATACTCAAATCTTTTAACCCGATATCAAAACCAAATAAACCACTTGTTTTATTATATTCCTTTTGATTTTAAAAAACATGTTTTATTATAAATATAGATACATAAATTATTATAAATGTATACAAATTAAAAATGAAACTTAAGTTATCATTAAAGTATTAAACATAAGCTATAAAAGTGTATAAAATTTATTAAATAATTTTTTGGTTTATTTTCTGTTTTGCATTTAATTATTTATAAACTTGTATTTTATATTTGTCAAAAGCAAATATTTTTTATTTTTATGAATAAAACAGTATGAATAAAAATTTTCTTATTATCGTGCAACATAGCTTCTTTTTTCTTTTGGGACAACATATTTATAAAATAAATAACTTAAATTCGAAAAAATACCATACAATTAAAAAACGTACATATATATAAAATAAATGGCATATGCCCGTATTCATAGTAAGACTTTGTACTTAAGGCTTGCTTAAATTTACCTTTAGATGCTCAGCAGTCAATGAAATAATTCATAGAGTATCTAAAGATAAATTTAAGGAAGCTTTAAATATAAGGCCTAACTATGAATACGAGTATTAATGAATTAGGAAAATATAACGCAAATAGAAAATGCATATTTGAAAATGTAATTACAATTTATTAAAGAAATCACTTATTATCACTTTATACAAAAAAGAATGGATAGTATAATAATAATTTAGTCAATGTTCGGCCTGGCAACCTTCTAAGCTTAAAGCTCTTGCCAGATTTCGTGCAACGCCTATTCGGAAGATAGAAATCTTGTCTTGAAATTTTGGATCGTCGCCGTGTGCTTCCACGCAACGTAGCAACTCGTAGCAATCGTTCGAAGAAAAGATTACGTCTTCCGCTTCTAATAACGGTATAGCATCCGTGAGCAGGATGGACCAGAAACTAAAAAAAAATTTTGCATTGTAAGTTGTGTAACCATGAATATTTTTAAAACGAACAACTTACTACTTCGGCGTCAAATTTGAAACTAAAAGAGACACCAACAGACTCGCCGCTTCGCGATATTCGTCCATTCCGTACATATGATGAAACTCGCAATATTTTCCTATAAAATAAAATTTTATATTAATTACCGTAATCACGCACAATTAGTTATATAATTTATATAATTACGAGAAATTACATTGTTATATATTACAGAAATATTGATAATTATTCTCGTTGGCTATTATACATAATTCTTTACCCAAAAATGTGAGCCTGTCGCTAGCCAACATGCAGGAGCCCAAGTTCTCTAACAAGTCGCGACACTCTAATTCTCCGTATTCCGCGTAATGCTTTAAAAACTGGTCCGCGATATATGTGATAAAGTTGCCGTCGTGTGCCTTGAGCGCCCACGTAAGAGCATTGCCCAATCTTCCTTGTCTTATGCTTTTCATCCCTTGGATCTTGCATATACTAGTAACTAAGAATTTTTTAAATTATTGTAAATCTTGTTTAAGCCAAAAGAGAAAAGTAGAAAAAAAAGAGAGATCGAATTTTACCAACGTGCGGCATATTATTGTCTCGCGCGACGTCAATAATTTTGTTGATTCTCGCTTCTGTGCCTGTTGGTAGCGATTGCAACAAAATTTCTAGTCTAGCCAAGCCTTGTGTGGAGCAATGTATCAAATAACTCGCGCCACACTGCCACAATGAGCGATGGCTCATCAGTGTGGTGCCATACTCCAATATGAGAGATTCATGAAGCTGTGCAGTCACACTGTAATAAGATATTTTAATTTATGATTTACAATCATTCTTTTATCCTGTGTTTGTACTCACTTCGTCTTTTCTTTGCTGAGAATGTTTAATTTTCCACATTTGTACAATAAATCCATTAGGTGGGCCGCAAACCAGCCATTATCGCTCATATATTGTATTTCTTTGATAACTTGATACAAATCATTTTCCATTAAAGCAAGGATTACACGATCTAAATGCCTATTAGCTTGCCATCTCTCAGCAACGCTATTTGCATAGCGTGAAAGTTCCAGCTGTTTGCAGCAGGGAGCTGAATAAAATAATTTTGCTGCCAGCAATTCATACCATGCTTCAGTGTACATGGAATATTCCCACAACACCGATTCATCTCCCGCTATCAACTGCAAAACAAAAGTATTAACTTTTATATTAAAAAAAAAAAAAAGAAAAAACTTAATATTGCTTTACTGACTTTCATAAGCATTTCCAGATTGTTATCTATAACAAAGCAATTGGTCTCTAGATTTGAGCAAAGATCCATTTGCCAGTGTTTCCACCGCATAATAAATTCGTTTACGGAATATCCGCCATATACATTATAAACTGGCATTGTTCTGATAATATTGTCCGCAGTAATAAATGCTGAATGATCCGCTTTGCTGTGCAATGCCAGAAGACGGCAAACTAGATTCAATTTACCATGGAATGCACAGCCCATTATAGCTTCCCAATAATTTATATTCTCTAAATCGGCACACATAGTTTTTTGAGACAGAATCTTTGACGCTGCCAGTTCCCTTGAAGGAAAATGAAAGCTGATCCACTCTAACAATTGTGGTAGCACAACATCGCCTGTAAACATCACAAAAATCTTTTAGAAAAAGTTTTATGTGTTTAAAACAAAAAAAGCTATACTAAATAAAAATTTATATTTATTTTTGTATTTTTATTGTTATTCCATAAATTATATTGTACATATATAATTATAACAAACGTGGTTTCTAAATCAAAAATTAACAAAAAGAAGAGCATAAAACCACAACACAAGACATTCTTTGTGATATTTAATATATAATTATGTTTATAAATAATTTAATTTAATTAAATATCACAAAAAATATCTCGTGTTGTGATTTTATGTTCTTCTTTTTGTTAATTTTATATTGTACATTTTATTAACTCATTTACCTGGTACAACATCAACATAAAGAATTTCTGTCAAATGCCAAATGCATTCTACTTGATAAAATATAGTGAGAAAATTTTCTAGCATAGTTTTCTCTTCTGATAATGATTCCTTTGGTAATATCTCTTGCAAGTTTTCAACACAGGCTCTCAATATAGATCTATATTGTTTGCTATGTTTGAGAAGTTCTGGTCTAATGTCGCCAGAGGAAGATTTAAGCTTTTGAATTGACAGAAAGATTCCGTTGCTCTCATTAACCAGTTTACGCAAAAGTGGTGAGAATAATATGATTTCTGGTCGGAGGAAATGTACTCTAGCATCGCAAGGTGCAAATTGACTTCTGATGTCTAAAATAAATTCTTAATGTAGCAAAATAATTGTTCCTAATTTATATATGCATTAAAAGATACAAATTTATAATATATAACTTCTATACACATATGTATATATTATTTGGCAACCTTGCGAATATTTATCCACATGTTTATATGCATGTATCCCAAATCTATTGCTGCTGATCCAGGTTGTCGCGATACCTGCTCTCCTGCAAACGTCATCTGCTATAACCTGCAAAACACAAAGTTAACTAGATCGTTGATTAGCGAGCAAAAAGAATTATAAAATTACAGTCCCTAATTTCTTCTATCTATTCTAGTCAAAAATAAAAAAAAATTCAATACAAAAAATTGCATAATTAATATTAAAAGCGAATTCGTGCAGATTGGATTAATAAATAAACTTGCGAATAATTCTTAAAATATCAATTACAGATAGTCTAAATAAATTTACACAGTACAATGTAACGTCATTTAATTTTATGTATTAAAATTTAAAGTAAACATTTAATAAACATAAAATATAATATTTATGTATCTGGACACAAATTTTTACGTGTAAATAATATGTTACAAATGTGTGTGCATCTCACTAACAATTATTTGAGCATTGTCGACTTCGTCCATAGTCACTCAATTTATTTCTTCCTAAATTTGTAAATCACGTTAACACTATTATTGCAATTAATAATATTTCTGTAAATAAACACTTTGGCGGGGTACCGATCACTATAAAGTCATCGACATGACAATTGACAGAGAAAGGAAAGTAGCTGTTTGTTAATGAATTCAGTTTCTCTGTAATAAGTCACGATATGAGAAGACACGCGTTGATTGGTTCATGTTTCAGGAATTCCCGCTCTATATTTGAATATCCATATTCATGTTATTTTTAAATTTCAATAACATAATTAAAATTAGATAATTAAAATTAGATTTAAAGGTATTAACGAAAAAATTTTTTACATTACGTGTCAGAATAACGCGAGAAGAAAAGAGACATGTATAATTTGTAGACTCAATACATTATGTTTTTATCTTTGTAATATATATTACAAAAAATATGGAGAAATGATAAAATTAATAACAGTTCATAGAATTAATGATCTACAAAATTCGCAGTTCAATCTAGTCATTTGTAGATATAAAAAATAAAGTAATATAATCATTTTATTGAACTAATGTCAAAATATACGGGATATACACACACACACACACACACACACACACACACGCACGCACACACACACACACACACACACACACACACACACTTTTCATTAAGTTATAAGATGCCATAATAAAGGGATATATGTATGCAAACGTTTGTATTTAACATTTTATATTTTGTGGATATAAAGCTTAAGACATTAGAAGTAAAAAAGAGGTACAAAAATATTTTCTATATTGTCACTCTTCTTATATCAAAATGTTGTAATAAGTAAAAAAAATCTTTTGACTGAGAACATCGTATAACAATAGCACATATTATGTAATAATATGTAATAATGCAAGTATAAAATTCTACTTCGAATTTAATGATGAAACAATCGGAAACTAGTATGAGCCAACACAATTCCATGTTCGTTGCAGGCTTCTATTACTGCTGCGTCGTTCGTG